TTCTCGTTCTCGTTCTCGTTCTCGTTCTCGTTCTCGTTCTCGTTCTCTCTCTCTCTCTCGCTCTCTCTCTCTCTCTCTGTCTCTCTCTCTCTCTCTCTTAGTCAGCAGTTAAACTAGCCTTTTTTTGCATCACCAACTCGCCAAACATGGCCTCCAGAAACGGCCCTTAAATTTCCAGGGTTTGGATCCATTTTGCCTGCCCAACCCCCAACCCCCTAGATAACGCGGAAACTACCTTCAGCCCGGCCTAGCGGCTGGCTTTCGAAATGAAGATATGGCTTGACGCAGCTACTTCTTGAAAAGGAATCACGCATGTCAAGTTGGTCCCCTTGCCTTGAGTTGGTCTCCCAGTGACGCCTGCCAAAAAATAGAACAAGATGTGATGAGCCGAATTAAACAAGACAGCCTAGGTAGTGGCAACATTTTGAGGCACAAATCTGCAAGAACAAAGAAACACAGCCAAGATTGCACCAATCTCGTGAAACTTGCACCCCAACCTCGGCCGTCGCCAGCAATACTTTGGCCCTGGCGCTGCCTTGGACCTCGCAATCCTGCAAACGGACACATAGGGAGATCTATTCGTATGCTTTTTTCATAGGGAAATCCTCCACCAATGGGTTTTTGGCCTTTGCTGTTTCATGCAGTCGACGACATGCGTTCTGGTCCATCTCCCTTCTTGCAGGGGGTCGATCTGGGAGGTCTCCCCTATTTTACACACCTGAAGGTCCGGAAACACAGGTCCGGCCACTCATCGTTCGCGCAAGAAGCGTCCCGGTCTCGGATTTCATTGAGGAAGTCTGTCCCGGTCCGTCCCCAAAACCCATATCTGAAAGACTTCCTGGAGGAACCCAGGCTCTGCATTTGCACAGTGCCACACACACATGGTCAACAAACAGCTGATGCCCAGCATAGCACCTTGGCTTTAGCTAAAGCCTCTGCTTGCCGGCCCTGCAACAAATTACGCTGGACATGAAGCATCAACTTGGTTGTGTGCGCTGTCTGAGAATGTTGTACACATCAACATTACTTTCAATTAAAGGCGTTAGAGTTGCTCAATGTGGAGCCAATGCACTTCAACACACAGTGAAGTGCTGCTCAGAGCGCCTGCGCCAAAAGTGCCTTCACTAAACTTCGGCAGGCATCGGCCTTGGCTTCCCCCTGGCTGTCAGAGCCCAAGGTTTCTATGGCTTTCCTTGGCTACGCGACGCGTCACAACCAATAAGCGCCCGAATATCTGATATTTCAATCAGCACGTCCGTCAAGCAGAGCGAGAACAAACAAATACAGTACTCACCAAGGATCAAAGCTAGAAGCTCTGCTTCTTGGAATTGCTCTTTGCCCAAAGCAGCTTCTGCCTTGTGAAAAAGGGTCTTGACAAGGAGTGAACGATACTCTTGATATTGGCTGAAATTGAAAAAACATCGTATGACCCAATCCACAAACGGGACCACCAACTATTGACAACCCGTTGTAGCAAGCCGGGATGCTGTTGGACTCGTGTGTACAAACGCAGTGCAAAGAAGCATGGTCTGTCCACAAAAGGAGGAAGCTACGAAAAAGATTTTGCAAAAGCTACCAACACTGTGAACATCCCCTCCTCCAAAAGCTTTGAATGCTGAGCTTTTGCCTCACGCACATTGCTATTCGGTTGGAGGCCATGGCTATAGTTCTATAGTTGAGTTTCGGCAAAAAGCTAGGAACCAAATGAACAGTGCGAGCGCTTCTTCAAGGAAACTCCACCCCCGCCGCCTTTGGGGCGGCGGGGGAGCTTCCTGGAAGAAGCGTGAGCTTTCCTGCATCCACACTAGTAGCTACTTAAGCTACTAGCTACCTCTTCTACTAGCTACCTAGCTTTGAAAACGTTTCAATTTGTTTCACTGGGAGCTTTAGGAACTTTGACCATGTCTCCCTCTGGGCCTTGGAAATGCTGAGAACGCCTACTGACAACATCTGGCAGTCCTGATACCTCTTGCTGAGGTCATCCGCCCAAATTCCACACACCTTGAAAACATGAACTCTGCACACACTAGGGTGGGCAAAGAGCCCGCACAAAGATTATTGATTGGTACAAGATTGCTTGCCGCATGCCAGTTCTTCCTTATCCATTTTGAGCAGCTGCTTCCTGTGATTCTATTCTCGTTACGTGGCCTGCGCTGAGTAGCGCATGGCTTGGGTGGACCGGCTCTTAACACATGGCAATCTACACTATCCATCCAACAAAGAAGGTAACTTCAGGATTACGTACTATCAAATTGCTACGCTGATTGAGCAACGTCTGCGCAGTCTTTGACATGTCTTTGACTATCGTGCCAAAACTATGAGTATGTCATGACATGGCTGCATGCAACTTCTGACAATTGGGCTGAACAACCTAAATCTTCTGAATCTGTGCTGATGTCATATGCTATGTACCTGTCAGCCTTGAGTAAAGGGAAAGGAGTGAGAGAAGGGAAAGGCAGAAAACCGTGCCAAGTTGTGAAGTGTAAAGCTGAGTGATCTTGCGCGTCTTAGTTGTAAAAAGAACTCAGCAATGATCATCACGCTTGGAAGCCTCCAGCGCATAGTACCTGAACAGGATGGAACGCACTTAAAGCAAGCTGACCTAGTTATTGAACCCATCTGTCTGACAGCATGTCACACAATCTGAGACAGCAAAGGGCAAGACGCTGAATCGCGAACATGTTCATCTTCATCCTCCATCCTGCCAAGCAAACAAATCCCAAGGGCCCAAGGAGTTGGAGGCAAGTGCATCAGAATTAAACTAGCGATGCACCTGTTACTAGTAGCGTGGCACTTGTTTCTAATAGCAAACATTGTTACTACTAGTAAGGCACCTGTTACTAGCGATGCACCTGTTACTAGTAGCGTGGCACTTGTTTCTAATAGCTTCACGATGTCCTCTCTTCCACTTTCTTCACAATGTCCTTCAAGCGCCACAGGCTGCCAGTTGATGACGCAAACAACACACTTAGCTATCTTGCAAACAACACACTTCATTGCGGTCCTCCATATCTTGCGTAGCTATCTTTTCCAAAAGCTGAACGCAGGCCTAGCCAGAATGGCACAGCTTGGTACGATTCTTTGAAAGAGAAGCTTAACCACTCACTGAGTAGATTGCGCAAACCTGTGTGTGACAAAGAAGTTTGGCATATGCCAATTCTGAGACTTATTGACAACTCTTTGAGTGCTTTCCTCTAATGTTTCCGTTTGATCCTCTCCATTTTTCCAATCACCTCAATCAATGCGGCTTTGCCCTCTGGGACGCAGCTCCCATCGATCATTGGCAAGACATCCATGAACAACCGGGCGGACATGTTCCGCCCACACGTGGCCCCACGCTTTGCAAATCTCGAGATCTTCCAACCGAAGAAGTCTGGCAGGTCCTATCTCCTTCAGGATGCTTGTGACATTGGCCATTCCAGGAGTGTGTCAGAGTCTGCTCAATCTGCACTCGCAGTCATCACCTTCGTCAACTGATAGGCAAATGGTCAATACAACGCATAGCATCGTAGATATCGTTGGTCCATGTTGTCCAGGGAGCGCGCTTCATCAGCAGCGCGTAGAACCTCTATTCTGCAGGGTTGGTTGAAAGGCCTTTCGGAAAACAATCACATCGAAGAAAATGCCGAGGAGTAAAAGTTTAAAACTAGTGTTCGAGTTCATTAGACAAAACCTTCCCCCCTCCGCTTTCAGTTCAATCTTGTCTAGGGTTATAATCTACCTCTCCAAGGCATAGATCTCGGCTGAGAAAAGACTTCCCAAAGAAAGCTTTGTCCAACTGTTGTAAAATGATCACAGTAGCTTTAGCATCATGTCTTGCAATAAAATCAACATGGGCCCGGTTGAGCATGTTCAACTTTCATTATTGATGTAAGTAAGACATTCCACTTATTGATGATTCAATGATAATGATGTAAGACATGTTGTAAAGAGTGACAGCATTGCATCGAGGTTGGCTTCGGAAGTTCCAAGAACTTTGTGGTGTATGAATCGAATGGCAGTGATGTATGATTGACTGGTGCAGCGATGAGACCAGTGGATGGCTACCACAAGGGGTCCACAAGTGTGTACAGCATTCCAAGTGTGTCGTTTTGGATGCAGCCTTTTGGGAGACGATATGTCGTTGCTGATCAGGGTGTAGTGGATGTCTTTTCATGGCTTGGCGGATGATTTCATGGCTTGCTGAATGCTGATGGGTGCTGCAATGGAACATGGAACGCTGCGAATACTAAGCACGCATGCATGAGCGGGTGGATCGTGCTCACATCCTTGTATACATCTATGTCGTTGACGGTTTCCCTTTCATCTTCCACACCCCGCTGGGGGGATTTACAGCCATGACTGCAACTGAGTGACCATTCCACGACTTTGGAGAGGTGCTTTTCTGTCTTCTCCTTAGCAAGCTGGGAGCAAAGTCATCCAAACAAGGCTGCATGAATATGAACAGCATGATGTAGCCACCGTCAAACACAAGTTCTCACAACCAAGCATCATCTTGATTTGTACCTTTCGAGTATCGGAAGAAATCCTCCTTGGAAGGCACATCTGTCAACCCTCGAGTTTCTTTCTCTTGCTCAAGCGCAAACACATGGATGTGCCCTTTCCGAGCTGAAGTTGACCAACTGGATGAGTGACATGAGAGGTTGAAGGAGCCAAGCACAACTCATAGCAAAAGAAATAGCCTCCTTGCTACTAGTAGCGAGCGATGCTCTTTGTTACTAGTAGCTTTTTGTTATTAGTAGTAATGCCAGGAGCTACTGATAGCGTCCTTGCTACTACTTTGTTTATTCCTCAAGTGGAGTTCTAGTGGCTTCAAGAACCCAAGACACCAAGAACGGCCTTGGCAGCTATGGAAAAAGGAACGTAAACGAAAGCCAAGTGCATGGAACTTTCCTGCTGGAAAGAATCTCAGCAATAAAAAGGGAAAGAACTTGATCATGGATGACTGACGGTGATGATTCCTTGATTAACACAAAAATGGAGTCGGCGTACGCTCGCACGTTGCTGTTCTGTTTGCTCCAGTCCAGTCCTGCACAATGTGACGAATAAGCTCTTTGGCCTCCTCGTCGTTCTTCGCACGCCTCGAGGCAGCCCAGATCAGTGGAGACAGCTGAGCCTTCTCAGAAAAACAAAGAGGCCTGACTAGGGCATCGCTACTAGTAACAAGGGCATTACTACTAGTAGCTTCTAGTTACTAGTAGCATTGCCCTTGTTACTAGTGGCTATGCATTTGTTACTAGTAGCTTGTACCCACTTCACCTGGTCCTAGCAGCTTTACTATAACACAACAGTCCAGTGATTTCCTTGGAACTGGACACGGAAAAAAAAGTCTGAGAGCATGGCCGAACTTTGCTAATCAGCTCCGTGACGAAGAGAGTTCCACGGCCTGGCTCAGGCATGTTCCGTCCCGACACATGGCATTGACAACGCCGTAAGGGGGCTAGACCTAGTCCGCTAGTGAATCTATTTGCACTGCATTTGCCACGAAACAACTCTGAAACGCTGGTCCGCCTTTGCCACATATCAGCTGTTGCACTACAACGGGCAAAACCAATGAAAGATCCACATCAAGCGCAGGCTTGAAGAGACCCTGGCAACACCAAAAAAACGCTAGCAGGTGGCAGGAACCAGGTAACCAGCAAAAACCTGAAAAATATAGCATATTGTCTTTTCAACGGTTTGATCCACGAAGACCAAAAAAGTAATATGAATGCAATTACTGATTTAATTGGATCATCATGAATCATTCATACATCGCAAACGCATGCCTCTTCGCCACTCCCCCGAGTGTATTCTGAGGGAAACCTCAATACAAAACCCTTCAATTCCAAATCAATTCCCATCAACATGTGAACATCCATTAACAAACGTAAGGAACCTGTTTTTCAATGCAGAAATCAACCAAGTCGGAGGCTGAATAGAGCCTTTGCTATTCCCATCAATGTCAATGAGTCGAGCTTTTCTGCAGTCCCGGGAAATCAGGACATTGTTCATGTGATTGAAATCAAAGGCCTTGAGAAGCACAAGCAAGGAAAAACCTGTCAATAAACAAAAAGCGACGAATGGTGACAAATCTACTCTTGTCCCTTCGGCCTGCACACCCATGAGAGTAAGATCTCGAAATCCGTTCAGCAGGCTTACCTAACAGTCGTTTTTCGTCAAAGTCATTTTCATTGCTCGTTGTTTCTGACCCTCCTTCAAAGTGGCCAATGCGCAAGTGTCATGACTTTCAATTTTTCAATGTTAAAGTCCAGCTGCAAGCAAAACTTTTACTTTAATCAGGGAAAATTTGGACTGCATGTCTTTGATGCGCCAGTGCTCCTGACAACAACGGCTGGATTGGAAAAAATGCAGTGCAAACATACGGAACTTTGTAAGTTTCCAGAAAGCACCTCCAAGAAGTGTTGCAAAACACTGTGGGTGCCTCTGGTCCCAAGTGCCCATGCGTCAAAACCTGGCCAAGTTTCAATAATTTCCTAAACTGATGCGGTACAGTAGACGTGGACTGCAAAAATCTAAAGCAACCAAACTGTTCCAAATTCATGGTGCCAAGTTCGATTCAACTTTCCCTTCTTGGGTATAGTGGTAAGAAGGTTTTGTTTTTTGTAAGGCTCTTAGACAGGTGGGATAGTCTCCGATTCCGCAACTGCACAAGATTCTGCAACTAGGATTCTGAAACTATTCGCTCGGATTCCGACTGGGATTCTGCGACTCGGATTCTGCAACTTTCAGGATTCCACAACTGCGACGTCCGCAATAGTTCGAGCAACAACCACATGCCCCAAACGCGCAAACAAAAGCAAAAAAACAGGGTGGGTGGGGTGGGGTGGTTGGGTGCTTGATGAAATGAATACGTTTCCGTGCTTGCCAGCCCAACTTTGAATGTGACTCGCACGCCTAATGACAGGTGACCTGGTCCTGTTGTAGGGCAAAGCTACCTGCGCTCGAGCGGCCTTGTGCGTGTTAGGGTTTTCTTGAAATGATTCGCGTGAATCGTTTCCGCGTGGTAGCGGAGCATGCCACCTGAGCAGGCTCCTGTGGTGACGGTGTCCAGTTCCGGCTTTGGGGGGATTTGTGGGACACTCTCGTAGGACACTCTTGTGGGACACTCTTGCGGAACTCTCTTGTAGGATACTCTTGTGGGGCACTCTTTTGGGACACTTTTGTTGGACACTCTTGTGGGACACTCTTGCGGGACACTCTTGTAGGACACTCCCCCCCACTCTTGTAACACACTCTTGTTGGACACTCTTGTGGGACATTCCTGTGGGACACTCTTGTGAGACACTCTTGTGGGACATCCTTGCAGGACACTCTTGTAGGACACTCTCGTGGGACACTCTTGCGGGACACTCTTGTATGACACTCACTCTTGCGGGGCGCTCTTGCGGAACACTCTTGTAGGCCACTTTTGCGAAACACTCTTGTAGGACACT